ATATAAATATGTATATATATATATATAACATGTGATCAATGATAGTTAGATTTCCCCTACAACGCATGTCAACCCCACGCAATCATCGTCATCATCATCGTCATCATCATCATCATCATCATCATCATCACCATCATCATCATGGGCACGATGGAAGCAGCATGATACGGAGGGAGCGTTACTAAGGCAACGGTGGGTACAACCAATGCACGTATGACATGCACTGACCAGTGTACGCTCGGTGTAAGGTGTGCCACGATAACCTTATAACCTCGTGTTTTGCCTCGACTGATCAATAACATCACCTCCGTTATAGAGAGGTGATGCATTTGCTCAGCAGAGTCACAAGAAACAAGTAAACAAACAACAACAACAACACCTACGGAGGACGACGACGACGATGACGACCACGGCAATAGAAACGTGTCACGACGATGAACTTTTCACGATCGAAAAAAAACCGCAGCGCTTATAAAAATGTACTCGCCGAGATTTACGCACGGGCGTGTGCTCTCTCCTCTACTCCAGCACACCCCCTCTCGGTATTCTGATCCTCCCTTTCCATCTCACTCTCTCTCCCTCTCTCCCCTCTATTTATCGCTTCCTCTCTCTCCCGGTCCCCCTCTCTCTTTCGTGAGACTCCTCCATGCCCTCTATTCAAGCTAAAAAGCTTCAGTCTTCGTCCCACCGCTCTCCGGGCCTCTCCCCCTCCTTTGCCTCGCTCCTCCTCCTGGAAGCTAGCCTAGATGTTGGTGTCGGCGGAGTTGCCTGGTACGTTGGGGTAGATCGTCGGCTGGTCGCCGGGGTGCGTCTTAATCTGCTGGTCGCCGGCCTCGTCGCCCTTGCGCAGGGGCCTCATCTCCTCCTCGTTCCTCGCCCTCTCGTCGCGGCCGTAGGCCACGGAGCTGTAGCGACGTCCAAAGTCCGGGTGCTCGGCGTCCATCTTGGCCAACTCGTGCCTGCAAATACACGCGCCCACGACACATGAAGTAGTGCAATTATATCGTATTCCATAGCTATATTCACACACGCACGCACGCACGCACGCACGCACGCACGCACGCACGCACGCACGCACGCACGCACGCACGCACACACACACACACACACACACATATATGTATATGTATATATATATATATATATATATATATATATATATATACAATATATATATTTATGTTCGTTCACTTGTTCGTTCATTCATGACCGTGCGTTCGTCCATGCTTTCGTTTGTCCGTGCGTCCGTTTGTTCGTGCGTTAGTTCGTCTGTGCTTTCGTTTGTACGTGCGTTCGTTTGTGTGTTCGCTCGTTTGTGTGTGCGTTAGTTCGTCTGTGCGTTCGTTTGTTCGTGCGTTAGTTTGTCCATGCGTTCGTTTGTGTGTGCGTTAGTTCGTCTGTGCGTTCGTTTGTCTATACGTTCGTTTGTCCATGCGTTCGTTTGTTCGTGTGTTAGTTTGTCCATGCGTTCGTTTGTGTGTGCGTTAGTTCGTCTGTGCGTTCGTTTGTCTGTGCGTTCGTTTGTCCATGCGTTCGTTTGTCCATACGTTCGTTTGTCCATGCGTTAGTTTGTCCATGCGTTCGTTTGTCAATGCGTTCGTTTGTGTGTGCGTTCGTTTGTCCGTGCGTTCGTTTGTCCGTGCGTTCGTTTGTCCGTGCGTTTGTTTGTGTGTGCGTTCGTTTGTGTGTGCGTTAGTTCGTCTGTTCTTTCGTTTGTCCGTGCGTTCGTTTGTCCATACGTTCGTTTGTGTGTGCGTTACTTCGTCTGTTCTTTCGTTTGTCCGTACGTTCGTTTGTCCGTGCGTTCGTTTGTCCATACGTTCGTTTGTCCATACGTTCGTTTGTCCATACGTTCGTTTGTCCATACGTTCGTTTGTCCGAGCGTTCGTTTGTCCGTGTGTTCGTTTGTCCGTGTGTTCGTCGCGTGTTTATGAGCTCGTGATGAGCTGTATGACATACCTGCAAAGGTGAGCGACAATCGCTGTACCATACGAGTCACCCAGTACGTTGATCGATGTTCGAATTCTATCCCTGCAGTCACAAAATACGACATTATTATCACTCTCTCTCACTTACTTTCTCTTTCTCTCTCTCTCTCTCTCTCTCTCAGTCTCTCTCTCTCTCAGTCACTCTCTCTCTCTCTCTCTCTCTCTCTCTCTCTCTTTACTATCTCTCGCTTCACTATCTCTCTCTTTCTCTCTCTCTCTCTCTTACTCTCACACACTCTGTCTCTCTCTCACTCACTCTCTCCCTCTCTTCACTATCTCTCGCTCTCTCTCTCTCTCTCTCTCTCTCTCTCTTTCTCCTCGATCTCTCTTGCTCTCCCCACTCTCTCTCCCAACCTCTTTCTATTTACTACTTTTCATCCTCTCTCTCCTCCTCGTCCTCATCTTCCTCCTCCTTCTTCTCCTCCTCCTACGCTATCGCTGTACTTACAGGAGCCAGTCGACGGCTACGATAAGACTGATGTCTTTCGTGGGCAGGCCGACGGCGGTGAGTACCAGCAGCATGGTGACCAGGCCCGCACTCGGCACGCTGGCGGCTCCAATAGATGCAGCCGTCGCCGTGAGACTGCGAGAACGACGGATTAATGGTGGATTAACGACGAATTAACGATGGAGTAACAACAGATTAATGATGGATTACCGATGGATTAACAATGGATTACTAGCTAGATACTGATATCAACTCTTAGTTAGATACAACTAACTCGTGTGAACCTGTAGTGCAGGTATGAATGGCTGTGTCTTACTTGTATGTGTGCGTTTTTGCTTGTGTACGTACGTGTGTACGTATGGGTGTGCGTGACTGTGCATGTACGTACATGTATGCATGGGTGTATGCACGTGTGTGTGTCTACATGCGTGTGTAGGTGCGTGCACTGGCGCCCACAGGTCTTAAGAAAGTAGAAACACAGAAGGATAAAATCCTCAGTGATAATAAAAAGCAGGCGCGCTGCATCCTAGGGGGGGTCTGTGGGCATGCCCCCCTGAACATTTGTGAATGATAGACGTCTGGAGATGCAATCTGGTGAGTCTTGCGAGAGATTTAGGAAAAAAATGTAGAAACAAAATTTTTTAACCCAAAATTTACTGGAAGCACTGTGCTTCCAGTGCTTCTATCTGCGGGCGCCACTGGGTGCGTGCATGCATAAATGCGTGTCTTCGTCCGTGTGTGCGTGCGATCATGGGTAGGTGTAAGCGTGACTGCATGCGTGCGTGCATGGGTGCTTGCGTGCGTGCATGTTTGCATGCGTTTGTGTGTCCATGTCTGCATGTATGTGTGCGTGTCTGCGTGCGTGCGTGTGTACAAGCGTCTGTGCAGAGGCGGATCCAGGGCTGAAGCTAGACAGTATTTTTCCAGATTTTAAGGGCACATCCCCCAAAAAGGGCACACCACACCACAGTGGGCGCCATCAGGCGCAGAAGCACATGGCGGGGGGTCTGGTGGCCTCCCCCAGGAAATTTCGAAATTTCAAGGGTACCTGGGCGCAAAAATGAGTACCATTTGAGCACACATTTAGTCAAGCATCAATAGCTAAAAACCATATGGAATTTTATTTCTGCTTCATTTTGCTTGCGCTTTGCATACCAGCAATTAATGCAGAATGATTCAAGCACTTCCCTTCTTTTTCAGATATCAAAGTTAGTTTTGTTACCATTTAAAATTTTGATTTCCTTCAATTCCTGTCAATGAATCAGAAGAAAAGAAATAAAGAATATAGCCAAATTCCATCAAATTGTTTTCTGTATTTTTTAGCGCAAAATTTCGAAGGGCACTTTGAAATCTAGACCGTATTTCCCAATACGGCAATACCCAATAGATCTATCTAGACCGTATTTCCCAATACGGCAAATACGGTCTGAATCCGCCTCTGCTGTGTGCGTGTCTGCGTGCGTGCGTGTGTACAAGCGTCTGTGTGCGTGTCTGCGTGCGTGCGTGTATACAAGCGTCTGTGTGCGTGTCTGCGTGTGAGAGAGAGAGAGAGAGAGAGAGAGAGAGAGAGAGAGAGAGAGCTACGACCTTAACACACACGCACGCACGCATGCACGCACGCACGCACGCACGCACGCACACACCTGCATCCACCGCTGCTACACGCAGCGACGAAAGGTTCGCAGAATCTCGAGAACGCGGGCTAAGCCGCTACAGGCTGAAGCGACTGCCGTGACCCGACCCGCGCGCGACGTCCGACGCACAACTCCTAAACGATAGCAGTCTAAAGCTTAGCCAGAGCCTCTCAATCGGACGGAAGCAGCAGCAGCACCGAATTTTTTAAATGGCACTTTCAAACCGGTTCCGGGTCCGCACACACATGCCTACAGCGCGGAACTACTGCGGGGTCTCGGGCGCGATTCTGATTTCGTTAAATCGGGTGATTTATATCTCGCACGGCGTCTTTTGTTATTCTCACACCCGCACCCGCGACGATCCGTACAAACGTAGTGTGTTCCTGCGCTTTTTCTCACCGCGGCGGGGGCCACCACCTGTGAGAGTCGCTAGTTTGCATGACAATGCCTATCGTGGCAGTGGACGGCCGTGATCGTATATGCGCACGGGGGGGGGGGTGCTAAGAAGCAGAATAAACTCGCCGATTTATAACGCCGTGAAAAAAATGACGTCTAACGTCAAGTCGTGAAGTCCCCCTCCCTCACATATACCCACGCATTCACGCATTCACGCACTCACATATTCACGCACCCACGCATGCACGCACTCACATTTTCACGCATTCACGCACTCACATATTCACGCACCCACGCATGCACGCACTCACATTTTCACGCATTCACGCACTCACATATTCACGCACCCACGCATTCACGCACTCACATATTCACGTATTCACGCACTCACGCACTCACGGGTTCACACCGTGGGTACATGAACGAACATCACCAGGACCACTTGAATACGTCAACAGATCTGCTGATCTGCGGTCCCCCCATCCCCCCAGTAGAAGGCGTTGTCAGAGACAGCGCCTAGTTCTGTGATAATGATTATATAATACCTTCATTATTATAACACGTGGGAAAAGTTATCCGAATTATGCGCAAAATTACGACTGAAATGCTGCTGATGCTGAGATTCTGACAACGACCATACGTATTAGAAACATCGTAGATCTACGATAATCATTATAGTACCACTGTAGAACTCACGGGAGAAGATGCGACTAAGAATGAAATGATTACGAGTAAATTGTTTCGGACAACACCCCATGCTCCCAGGATCTAGTCAACACTCCACGCCGAACACACGTGAGCAGCCTTGATAGGAGGACGCGAATCTATGAACTGACGTCACAGACCGGAAATGACGTTGCAAGAATCAACACTAGTTGAATTAATTACTGCAATAATACCCAGGTACGGAGTACCCCCTTTCAATATGACAAAGACTAGCTGCTACGCACGCGAATTCCCTGATAACAATGTTTTGACGTCGGAAACGTTTTTTTCTCGTAAAACCCACCGTTTAAAATCAACACAAGAGCATCAGGTGGAATCGCAGACGGATCGTTTGATCCTAAAATAGAACAGCTAATCATGACGCGCGCATTGATACAGCTGCTGATGATTACGCCATTCGGCCCCGCCCAACTACTTTTTCTTCCGCGGCAAAGATATAGCGCCAGTACTCTCCGACTCTCCCTTGTTCCCCCCGTGGGCTTGAGTCGGGTTTATTTATACAATATATTTGCTGCGCGCTCGCTGATGCTTACCATCTCCCCGTTGAACAAAAAGCGACTCCCCGATGAGTCCTTCCGTTAGTACGAGCAGGTGCTATCCATTAACGAAAACTTTTACAAGGCCCGTGTGACATACTTAAGTTGTCTGCCGCCGCTGCTGCCACCGGTGGTAGTGGTAGAGCTGCTGCTGCTGCGACTGATGATGATGAGGAGGAGGAGCAGGAGGAATGAGAAGGAGGAGGAGGAGGAGGAGGAGGAGGAGGAGGAGGAGGAGGAGAAGCAGGAGGGGGGAGAAGGAAGAGGAGGAACAGGAAGGAGGAGAAGGAAGAGGAGAAGCAGGAGGGAGGAGAAAGAAGAGGAGGAACAGGAGGGAGGAGAAGGAAGAGGAGAAACAGGAAGGCAGAGCCGATGTTTTATGCATTTTATTATCAAGTTACCCGTTCGTTTGAAACTATTATCCGTACATGGCCCTGTTTAGAGCTTCCACGGGCGGAAAATGTGCAGACACGTTGGCGGCTGGTGACAAGTAATTAAAATATATAGCTGGAAAACTAAAAAAAGAGATGACACTCGATAAACCGGATACCTAAACGTCAAATGTGTTTTGAGTTGCGTGTGAGGTGCGTGCGACTGTGCGTGCGTGCGTGCATGCGTGCGTCGATGTATGTGTATGTGCGGCAGCATGTGTGTGTCTGTGTGCATGGAATTCAACTATACTACCTGCTTAGCAATCAGTGACACGATTAAAATCTTTATTCCCATCTCCCTGGTCTCGACGTTTGGGCTAGAATTTACATTTTTTAAACCATGACTCGTACAAACAAAATCCGCACCATTACGCAAAAGGACAGCGTTCGCGTGCTACGGAAACAAAAATCTCCTCCATGATAAAACGCAACTCTCGCGGCGCATGCTCTCAGTTAAGGGCCGAACACACTAGGCGATTTTATCGGGCGACTCACTCGGGCGACCCAATCGCCGGTCGATTTAGTCGCCCGATTTAGTCGCCCGATTTAGTCGCCCGATTTAGTCGCCCGATTCAATCGCATCGATCAAAACGTTTTGATATTATCGGGCGATTATTTCAGTCGCGCGACTCAATCGCCTAGTGTGCCCGGGTCGGCGATTTAGTCGACCGATTGTACAATTCATCAGCCAATCAGAGTTGTTCAATTATACTGGTTAGGCGGCGTTACTATGTGGATGTTTACGTGGTGGCGGTAGTGCGCGGAAGGTGGCGGTAGGAACTCGCCGTAAAAAATCGCGTGACGTATCCACTCGACTCGCGCGATAAAATCGGTCGATAAAGTCGCCCGGTTAGATCGCATTAAAATCGCCTAGTGTGTCCGGCCCTATAGTACTCGCTTTGGCAGCGGTAACGCTATTGGTAGTGGTGAACGACGATCACCTATCACGGCCGCACTCACTCGGCTACGCGACACCTGGCTTTGATGAGCCGCCTCCGCCGGTTGCGCGCGTTGATGCGTTGTCATTGAAAGACAATGCGGTGGATGGATGCATGTCTCTCGATAAAAGTTTCCAGCTACTACGTACTACTACGCGACTCGCTAGTAAACGCCTGTCAATTGTAGTGGAAGAAGAGAGACAGATAGATACAGATAGATAGATAGAGAGAGAAAGGAGAGGGGAGGGATGTCAGTCAGTCAGTCAGTCAGTCAGTCAATAAGTCAGCCAGTCAATCAGTCAGTCAGTCATTCAGTCAGTCAGTCATTCAGTCAGTCAGTCCGTTCGTCAGTCAGTCAGTGAGTCAGAGTGTGTCAGTCAGTCAATTAATCAATCAGTTATACGATCAATCAATCAATCAATCAACTAATAAATTTGTTAATCAATCAATCTCGTGTTGATCCACACTGCCACATTTGCGAATTTAAAGAGAAATAATAAAAAATGTGTCACACGCGGTACCACGTGGAAATTGTGGTTCAGGAACTCTTTAATGCAAACTGATTCAACGGACGCAGTTTCAGGTAAGCTCTAGCTATCTCAGCAGCTAGGTGCTACGGGCCCCTCTACAACTCTACCTGGATGCAGTGCCGACAGCCGTGACCCAGGCCTGCAGCATTCCCTTGAAGAACGTCCATGGATTGCGCCGGCATATGATGAAGTAGATACCAGGCAGGACGAATATCGCGTGTATGCCCAGCCCCAATATAACCGTCACCTGAAAGTGACATATAATATACCCTAATATGACCTTAATATAACCGTCACCACGACACAAGCAGAAGTGGTCGTTAATATAACCATGAATACATACATAATATTTAGTATACATGGTATATACGGTATTATCATATTTTTATACATACTCTACATTAGTGTACATTACCATACAAAGTATACATTAGTAATGTACATAATATCAGGACGATATTTATTCACTCCTGATAATACATACATATGACATAATACATATCATCATACATCATACATATGACATATGATCATGATATTACTAAATAATGTAGTGCAGGTGATAAACAGAATACAGTTCATGTACATGACAAAAATATCCGCAGCAGCGCTACAGCTGACAGTATAGTAATGTTTCATTATTGTACATGTACATCTTGTAATGTTACACGTAGTAACGATTAATTGTAGCAAATGCGTAAGCAACACTTCGCATGTCAACTCACCATGTACATTCCCAGCTGTCTGCCAGTCGTTGCCAAATCGTCAATCTCCAAGATCTTACCAATGATCAGGAACATGATACCAAGAGGTGAATACCTGAATATGTGAAGAGTTAAACAGAGAGCATAAATCAACCGCTAGAGAGAAGCTGGATAGATTAAACTAATGGAACAAATCAATAGTAGATTCGAATAAATAAATAAATAAATAAATATATATATATATATGATTACATACCACCCCACCACCATCCCACCCTGCTGCCACCCTACAGCTGGACTGCTATGACTACGACCACCTACCACATGACAAGGATGACCACTTTCATGACGACCTCATTCAGTACGCTGAAGAATTCCACCATCAGGCGTCCGTCCTTCCCCATGGAGCTGATCATGATGCCAAACGCAGTGCAGAATACAATCAGTCCTGTAACACGGAGGGAGAAACACGAGGGTTTGTACAACTGTTTATCAGCACAGTGCAGAATACAATCAGTCCTGTCCCCGAGTTACGGAACACACTTGCGTGCCAGGCAGCTGCACGCACACATTGACATTAACAACGTCGAACTAACAGGTGGACACACGACATCGACGTGCGTGCGTGCGTGCGTGCGTGCGTGCGTGCGTGCGTGCGTGCGGGCTCGCGTGCGTGCGTGAACTCTCTGTTATTATATCGTTAACTCGATCGAATACGGCATGCGCGCTGCGACACAGCGTGAGCCTCCCCCCTTACATATATCCAGGTAGATCCTCTCCTCACACACACAGACCTTATAGGTAGCCACCGTCACAGGTGCAGCCGCCGCAGAAGCTGCAGTAATTACGCACAGCTGCGCCACAGTGACCACAAAACAGCATGAGGGGATTGACCCACGCCCCCCCTCCTCCCTCCGCTTTCCTCACATGTGCCCACGGGCTCTGCGCGGTAATTTGTCATTTCTGCTCGATTACTCGCAATGAAAGCTAGAGGTAAGGTTGCCACTGACAGCGCAGCACCCAGTCTCTCCCTCTCCTCCTCCCCTCTCCTCCTCCTCCTCCTCCTCCTACTCCTCCTCTTCCTGGTGCTGCTCATGCTGCCGTGACTCCGATACGCAACAGATGTTGGCAGCTGTGGTGAGAGTGTGGCGAAGCACTCATCAACAACGATGCTTGTCGTCTGCAGCGCAAGCAGCAGCAGCAACAGCAGCAGCAGCAGTAGTAGTAACAACAACAGCAGCAGCAGCAGCAGTAGCAGCAGCAACAGCAGCAACAACAACAGCAACAACAACAACAGCAGCAGCAGCAGCAGTAGCAGTAGCAGCAGCAACAGCAGTAGCAGCAGCAGCAGCAGCAGCAGCAGCAACAGCGGCAGCAGCAGTAGCAGCAGCGCGGGGTAAACATGCGTGTTGTCTTAGCGAAAACATGACATTTAATATTATCAGGAGTGAATAATAGAGATTATATCGAGATTATATAGAGATTTCTATTATTCACTCCTGATACTATAATTATACGATAGCCGTGCGCGCGGGCTTTCTTTCTCCCTCCTCTCTCTCTTGAGCAGATAATTGGCAGTTACTGTAGTGAGAGCCCTGCGTGAAAAAGAACGACTGCACCAGAATATATATATATATATATATATATATATATATACCAGGAGATATACGTATATAATACGTTATGTACACACGATATACACGATGTACAAATATTATTATCAAATAACCTTCATTATATAGGTCCATCTAATGATGAGAGTTATTACATGCCACCCGGACCTTTAGTTAATCTGACGACAGAACAGCTAATATCATGACCTGCGTTTCCTTCCGTCCACGCGTCCGTTATAGCAATAGCGACAGCACATATAAACGGCTTCACACACACACACACACACACACACACACACACACACACACACACACACACACACACACACACAGTAGCCGCCTCTACCTCACACATACACACGTACTGCAATCGCGCTCGTAAACAAACACGGACCGCTCCTTGTTTTTCTTCCCGCGTGATCATGTCATTGATTATAGGGAGTAGAAAAAAATTGTGAAAACTGGACGCATCTGTGCGTCTCTCTCTCTCTCTCTCTCTCTCTCTCTCTCTCTCTCTCTCTCTCTCATCCTTCCGCTCTCTTTCCCTTCGCTTCTTTCTATCTCGTTCTCTTTCTTTCTTTCTTTTTCTTTCTCTATAAATACATATGGAGCGAGAGACAGAAATCTATTTTGTGCTTTTGGGTAGTACCAGTTTCGGCAGATAGATGGCAGCAGGTACACGAGTCAGCCAGCATCACTGACAGTGACAGAGAGCCCACACAGAGCCTAGCGTTTCACACCTATTCACTCATCGTCCGCGCATACGATACTCTGAGCTCTCTATTAACCACTGCTGTGACCAACACAATCGCGCATACATGCAAGTGTCCTTCGTTCATTCAGCGCCATAACCAAGTTCAACAACCCTCTCTCTTTCTCTCTCTCTCTCTCTCGCTCTCTCTCTCTCTCTCTCTCTCTCTCTCTCTCTCTCGCATTCGCTCGCTAGCTCTGGCTCGCTCTCTTTCTTTCTCTCGCGCTCTCTCTCTATGTAAAACAGCCGCACGAGTAGTTTTCCATAGAAATACTCCAGCGAGGTGTGGAAGCAAGAGCGATGTTGGATGGCATTCTTCATCGGTCTGTGTGGTTGCCCTGGTAGCTAATGACGCTGGCTAGCACGCACGTAGTGACAAACACATATACACACACGCACACGCACCCACTCGCACGCACACACGCACGCACGCACGCGCGCACGCGCACACGCACGCATGTACACACACGCGCGCTCGCACGCACACACACACGCACGCACGCACGCACGCACGCACGCACGCACGCACACACGCACACACACACACACACACACACAGCCGCCACGCATTGCATACACCCAATACAGAGTACGCATACGCTCCGAGGCTTAATTGTAACCGAAATGGCAGAAGTCAGTCAATCGTGTTTCCGTTCGTCCTCCTCGCGGTGATAGACTAAGAAGTCTCAGCTTCTCTCTCCCCTCACCGGGTGTCAGCTTTCTGCACGGGAATCAAGTCATGTTTAAGTACGCCGCGCGCTCTCTTCGATAAATGTCATGTTCGTCTCCAGCCGGTCTGCGATGAACATAGCCACCGACCAAACTCACGGCGAGTAGCGTAAACAGATTCCTATATGGATGGTGAATACCGCGATTTAGCCGAATAATGATGAGAGAGGGGCGCGGCGGCAGCTCCCAGTCAACAGTATGGGTGTGGGTGTGGGGGAGAGACGAGGGTTTCGGGGAATGGCAGACATGATTATTTACAAGCATTTTATGACTTTTACACTCAAAATCTACTACTATACTATTTCTACTTTTGTTTCCAATATCGGCATCCTAGTTGTCTCCCCTCAGATGCTACAGCCCTGATACTGACTAGCATATAGCGGTTTTTGATAGATATCGAGCGATATCTACCTATATAGAGTATATGTTATAGGATATCTACGGTATTGGTCGTACAGGCATGTCGGAGCCTGAGGTATTGGGGGTATCCCTGGCACACTTTCATCCCACAGAGACCGGCTGGTCCGTCGCTCAAAATATAGTCGGCATGCCATCGTTTGTTTTCGCGTTCGTGATTCCAAAATACGCGCCGGTGCGGGAGCTTCTGAGAAGCCCGCAGCAGCAGATATAGACGTCAGCAGCGGCGCCTAGCTATCAGTCCTGTAACATCGAGGGAGAGACACGAGGGTTTGTACAACTGTTTATCAGCACAGTGCAGAATACAATCAGTCCTGTAACACGGAGGGAGGGAGACATCACATCAAATCAATCATAATATGTGAGCTTTGGTAAATATAATTTTACATATTTTTATAATAGTCTAATAAATGTAGCCAAATAAGGCAGCATCTTCACAAGTTAAAACACGTATGATAGAATGATGACGACACTGCTGCTGCTGACGATGACAACGATGACAACGATGACAACGATGACAAATTTACAACAACTATGATGGTGCTATATTATGATGATATAATGCAGCACCGTTATGACATGAGATTTATTAATGTACGTGTGTGTACGTGTGCATGTGTGTGTGTGTGTGTGTGTGTGGGTGTGTGTGTGTGTGTACGTGTGTGTGGGTGTGTGTACGTGTGTATGTGCGTGCGTGCGTGCGTGCGTGCGTGTGTGCCTGCGTGCGTGCGTGCGTGTGTGTGTATGTGTGCGTGTGAGTGCGTGCGTGGACGTGTGCATGCGAGCGTGCGTGCATGCTTGCGAGCGTACACAAACACAAAACACACACACGAGCGTTTGGCAGACCAAAGGACCAAAGTTAGTTCACCTAAGATGTTGGTGCCGACCTTGAAGCCGATCACTCTCTCCAGCTTGTACGCGCGCTCAGTCGTATTCTCAAATATTCCGTCCAGGGTCGTGTTAGGTGGCTCCGCCGTAGCCTTGATGATCTTCGGATAAACCTTCTCGTAGCCGGTCTGAGCCTGCTGGAAGCACGCCTGCACGATGTTCTCAGGGAACATGTTCCTAGAGGAAGAAAGAACAATCTAAGTGCTGGTATACTCTCTATGTTAGTCTGTAGTCTCTATCTATCAATGTTTTGTCTATAATATTTATTTAGTCTGCTCCTGTTGGACACATGTTTGGTCTTAGGGAACATGTTCCTAGAGGAAGGAAGAACAAGCTAGACATGGGCGTTCTCTCTATGTTAGTCTATATCAGTGGTTTGCCTATTCTATTCAGCCGGTCTGCACCTGAATTAAATAATCTGAAATATTATTAATATTAGTTAATAATAATTTATTAATGAGTATAATTAATCATAATTGATCAGTAATAATAATTGATTAGAAATTATTGTTAATCATAATTGATAAGTAATACAGTGTAGCCCCGTTATAACGCGATGGTTGGGGTCCATAAAATGTCATCGCGAAAAAAGCGGGGTCGCGCTAAATCGGGGTTATATATACGTGGCTATGTAAGAGCAAAAAAGGGGGTCCAATGACTCATGGTGTTAAATCCGAATTCGCGTTAAATCGGGGCGCGTAAAATCGGGGTTCCACTGTAATCATTGATTATTAGTATTAATCAACTAGCTCACCTGATCAGATCGAGGAACGCGTCCAGCGTGGATACAGACTTGCTCTCGGTTCCCTCGCCCACGTTCTTCTTGATGTCCGGGTTTCCGGGATGGATCGAGATAACGAGGATGATGCCGATCATGGCTGCTATGAGCGTCGTCACGGCGTAGTAGGCGAGCGCGCGGGAACCCATCTTACCCGACGACTTCGCGTCCAGACCGGCCAGGCCTGCACACGTACACGCGTTATGTCACATCGTAGCAAGGTGGTGGTGGAAGGAGGGTGGGGGGGGAGGGCCTACTAAACATCATGTCATCAATGCCGTAGCTACGCGGTGGTGCGGCGGAAGATAGGTAAGGGTGGGGGGTGGTGGCATGCACCCAACGAGACCAATGTAAATACCATTAGGTGGTCAATGGCGATCTGCCCACGGTCAACCGCTCGGAATACAAACCGCATGTAGTTTTGCCTTCTCCCGGCAACATGGGCTAGCTACGCCGCTGTCTATTAAATTTTTTTTTTTTTAGATAAATATGCATCGATTGCATTATTGCCTATAGGTAACATCACTCACCTGAGATGAGAGATAATTACAGGTAGTATATAAATAACATACTACAGGTAACACGCTCGTACCTGAGATGAGTGAGGAGATGACGAGAGGTAGGATGAGCATCTTCAGCATGCGCATGAGTATCTCTCCGGGGAAGCTGATGAGCATGATCGTGTCGTCGGACGGCTCGGCGTAGCGGCAAACGAAGCCCAGCAGCACGCCGATGATCACACCGGCGATGGTGAGAAGCAGCAGCATGTTGGTCTTCAACCATGCCACGATGCCGCTCCGTGTGTCAGCCATCTACACGCGATAACACACAGCGTCACAACGTAGCAGTAAGACTAGTCGTAGCAGCAGTAGCAGCAGCAGCAGCAGCAGCAGCAGCAACAACGGCAGCAGCAGCAGCAGCAGCAGTAGCAGCAGCTGCAGCACCTACAGCAACAGCAACAGCAGCAGCAGTAGTAGTAGTAGTAGTAGAGTAAGGTAGTTACTATTCATAGTAGTAGTAGTATTAGTAGACAATACTTAGCTAGACTTTGATGCCGCTCCTTGCCCTAGATATCTACATTACATCTAAGACTACTAGTAGTAAATTAACTCTATACTATCAGTAGTAGAGTATATACAAATATGTAACCCTGCAGAGAGAGATCAGGACCTGCTCCTACAAGGTTACACATTTGTATGTAGTGGTCTAGTGTAACTATACTACCAGTAGTAGAGTAGATCAACATATGTAACCCTGCAGACACAGGGATATTTGTAACTAGTAGTTTAGAGTAACTACTACTAGTGCTAATAATACAGTAGGCAATCTTTAAGTCACTATCTTACACCTACAGATGACAGCGTCATAGTAATATTAAGCAACTACTAAGAGCCAGGGAGAGGTAGGCCTACAGTAATAGAGTAGAATGACTACAAGTGTTAGAGTAGAATAACCATTAGCAGCAGCAGTAGTAGTAGTAGTAGAGTAAGCAATCTCTCGCGGTAAGTATCGTTAGGTGAACTATCCTAAATCCTTGCTGGTATATCTATCCTGACTGTATATTTCATAGATTCCTTCCTCCACCAGGCGTTCGTTCAACACGGCCGTCTATCATAGCCTGCCTTGGCTACTACCCTTCGTCCTACATGCGCGCTAGTGCTAGTAGTAGTGGGAGCAATATAACGTTAGATCTGTCACACCCGGAGCGGGAAGTACAAATACGTCGCCGTTTACCTGGATGAACTCGTCATCCTCGTATTTGTCCTCCTCCACCACCACCTCCTTGTTTAGAAGCAGGAAAGCAAATAGCATAAACGATTTATATGATCGAGTGAGTGCTCGTGCGATACCACAATCACCACCACCACGTAGACAACACGTAGGTATGCATGCGGGACGGGGTGGGGTGGGGTGAGGTGGGGGGAGGGTGGGCGAGGGTGGGGTGGGGTGGGAGAGGGGGAGGGACCTAGAATGATCGATGTGTCTTACGGCGATCGTCCCTGTGCGTTTCTGCGTGCATTGTGGCCGAAACTCAAATATCGTAGTTTACTCGTTTACAGCGCGAGATATTTCCCCTTCTTCAAATGCGCGTTCCCTGCAACTCTACTGAACTCCATAGGTAATGAAATTCACTACAAGTAAAGAAGTGAGCATTTTGGGGAAAAAAGTTGAGTAAAGTTGAATAAGGTGAATAAATAGCTTGAGTAAAGACGGTACTACATAAGGGCAAAGGCAAATACTACAGATTACAACTAAGAAATACATATCTGAAGCCACGAACCATCTTCCGCGGAATACATACCTTCAATAAACGGTTCAACACCGAATAATAATTACATAATGAAGATTCTTTATATCAGGACGTGAGGTGAGAATAGAAGGGAAAGCGAAAATTCTATGCAAACCACTAACATGCGTGATACCACAATTATCTACTCGTGTTATGAATACGCAAATGCTACGCGTATAACTAATATAACTACATATAAATATATAAATTGGCATAGTGATACTAGTCCATAAAACATATATAATTAATACTCACGTATTAAATTCTGCTTTCTATGCATACTATTGATCTTACTCACGCTGACGCGCTCTCTCTCTCTCTCTCTCTCTCTCTCTCTCTCTCTCTCTCTCTCTCTCTCTCTCTCTCTCTCTCTCTCGCTCTC